CCCCCCTCAGGAGCAGGAGCCGGCCCTGCAGGCCCCCCGGCCCAGCCGCCCACTCACTGAGCCGACAGTCTCGGCCGCCGAAGCCCACGGGACAGTCGCAGCTGAAGCCCCCCCAGCGCTCTGCGCAGCGGCCGTGGTTCTGGCACGGGTTCGAGTCGCAGAAGTGGAGCTTGGCCTGGCAGCCTGGGGAGGAAAGGCACAGGGAGCGCGTGAGACGAGGGCCCAGCGCGGGCAGGACCTGGGGTCCACAGGGACCGCGTGTGGCCACGACCTGGACGGAGGCGGCCCGTGCAGACGCCCGTGCAGGCCCGTTGTAGAAGCTACCGAGCCGTGCCGGCCAGCAGAGGAGACCGTGAGCAGGGGGGTCACTCTTGCGGCCCCCCCACCCGAGGACAGGGACTGCCTACCTGCCACGGTGCCGTTGTTCGCCACGAAGGCCGCCATGTCCACTTGGCGGCCATCAATGCGCAGGTCCCGCATGCAGCCGACGAAGTCCTTGTGGGACACGGGGAAGTTCTCGGGGAGGTTGGGGACACCCCCCAGGAGCAGAGGGCCTGTCAGGTCCAGGGACCTGGGGGTCAGGGGTCCAGGTCATTGGTGGGACTGGAGCCAGGGTAGGGTTGCTCCTGGGGGGGGTCATAGGAGGTGTGGGGGTAGGACTTAGAGGGCGAGGTCACTGAGGAGGCCTGGCTGGGGGGCCGCTGGGCCTTACTTCAGGTGGGGTGCAGAGGAGCTCATGATGGGCAGAGTCTGGGGGAAGGTGGGAGGGCGGGCTGAGGGTCAGGATGAGAGAGCGAGGCACGTGGTGTCTGGGGTGGCGGACGGAGAAGAGGTGAGGTGGGGTCTCAGGGTCCTTGTGGGGAGCGGAAACCTGGTGGTCTGGGGAAGGGTGGGGAGCTTGGTGGGCGGGAGTGAGAAGGGGGTGTGTGACGGGCTGGTGGGCTTTGCCCCCAGAGGGCACGGGGAGCAGGGTGGGGCCTCACTTCTTGGAGCTGGTTTGCGTGCCGGCAGCCGCGCACGAGTAGTTTCCAATCTCAGCTCCAAACTGCAGAGCCACGGCCACGTCACAGTCATCCACGCTCAGCACGGCCACCTTGTCCTTGGAGGGGCCCTGAGCAGCCCCCAGGGCATCTGTCCGGGGCTAGAGACCCAGGCACACCGCTCAGCGGGACCCCCGCGGGGACCCCGGAGGGGCAGGACTTGGCATCCCGGCTCCCCCCACGCCCAGGCCGAGGGGATGCCCACCTTGTTGTAGTATCTCAGGTGCACCGTGTGCCACTGCCCGTCACTCAGGCCCCCTGGGACTGTGGGGCTGACCACCGTGCTGGACTCACCTGTTGGGATGATGCGAGTGGAGGTTGACCCCCCCCAAGTCATGTAGGCAGCCACCCCCAGGGTGACCCTGTTGCATCAGATCAGCCCACACACGGTGACCACACTGGAGCACCGGAGTGCCCGGGGCGGCCAGCAGCACACACCTCGGAGCCGGACTCTCCCCCCGGAACCAGGTTCTCACCGCTGTCTGTGGCCACGGAGGCGGATGTGCAGCTACCTCAGGGGGTTGGGGGCTACACTGGCCCCCACACACGTGCGCCCCCCGCCCACACACCCCCGGGGTACCCACCTGTGGAGTAGGTGAGCCGCACTTGCCCAGCCACGATCTCCAAGGCCAGGAAGTCGTGCTTCTCGTTCAGACGCCCGTTGTAGAAGAGCAGCCCGCTGGGCTGCACTGTCGCAAACCTGGGTGGGGGTGGGCAGAGGGAGTCACAGGCCGCACACTCCTCGCACCCACCATCCCTGCGACAAGAAGGCTGGCGGGGAGGGAGCCCAGGCCGGGGTAGGAGGAAGCGATGAGCGAGGGGGCGCTGCAGTGACCGCCCAGGCAGGGCGGGGGGAGGGGCGGCAGGAATCGGAGGCGGGGTCGGGCAGTAGGAGGGACGCGCGGAGGCCGCAGGGGTGCGGGGCGGGAACCTACGAGAGGGACAGCGTGAGGTGGAAGCGCTGCCGCAGGCCCCGGAACATGACAAACGAACTGGGCGGGAAGGAGCGAGCCGACACCTCGCAGCGCGGGCCCTCGAAGGCGCCGCCCGCCGGGCACTGGCAGCGGAACCCGCCGTAGGGCCCGTCCGCGCAGGTGCCCCCGTTGCGGCAGACGCCGGGCACGCAGCGTCCGGCCTCCGTATCCAGCTCGCAGTCCTCTCCTGCGGGTGGAGCCGCGGTCACCACCCCGCCAGGCCCCTCGGCTCCCGAGGCTCAGGGCTCCCAGGCGGGTTTCAACGCCTCGGAAGGTCCGGCGCTTAAGTGACACGCCCCCGTCTGGCCCGCCCACCTAACCACGCCCAGCCATTGGCCCCGCCCATCCAGACTCTAACCACGCCCCCAGTCTGGTCCCGCCCATCCCTAACCACGCCCAGCCCGGTTCTAGCCACGCCCTCGATCTGGCCCCGCCCCCGCTGACCACGCCCCGTGGTCCCGCCCCACCCACTACAACGGACGCTCACAGCCCCGCCCCCGGAGTGGCCACGCCTCCTTCACAGCCTCAGCCCCGACCGAGGCCTTGGGCCCTGGACTCTCCCAGGACCAGGCTCTCCAGCTCTGGTCCCACCGCGCCCGCCCGTGCCGGTTCCTTCATCCCCGTCCTCCCTGCACTGTGGTCCCGCCCGTGCCGGTTCCTTCATCCCCGTCCTCCCTGCACTGTGGTCCCGCCCTCGCGCTCTGCCTGAGGCTCCCGGGCCGGGCCGGCCCCAGCCCCGCGGGCGGGCTCACCCGTGAAAGCGCGGGCGGCAGACGCACGTGTAGCCGCCCTCCCGCCGCGCGCAGGCGCCGCCGTTGCGGCAGGGGTTGGAGTAGCAGAGGTCGAGCTCGGTCTCGCAGAAGTCTCCGGTGAAGCCGAGCGGGCAGCGGCAGCGCAGGCCGGCGATGGGCTGGATGGGGCGGAAGAGCGTGGAGGCCGAGGCCAGGAAGGGCGCGGACGAGTCGAAGCGCAGCACCGACACGCACTTCATGTAGTTCTCGCAGGGCTCGCGCAGGCACACGTTGTCGTCGAAGGGCAGCACGTCGAGCAGCGAGCGGGCGGCGAGCGCCGCGCGGCGCACGTACAGCTGCTCCTGCAGCTCCTCGGAGCTGAACCAGGGCCCCGCGGCGCCCGCCCCCGTCCCGCGCGGCGCCAGCGCCGAGAAGCTCACGTTGAGCACGGCGCCCCCCACGTCCGTGTCGTTCTGGATGTTGAAGATGAAGACGTCCTCGGCGGGCGTGGCGAGCACCGCGGCCACGCCTTCCAGGAAGTGGCCCAGCAGCGGGGACAGGAAGCGCTCCTGCCACATGTTCTCGAGGCGCACGGTCAGGCTGTTGGCCAGCAGCTCCTCCGTGATGATGGCCACGCGCAGCACGCACTGCGCCGTCACGCTGTGCAGCCCGTCTGCGGGCGGGGAAGGGACGGGGTCAGCCTGGGGTCAGCAGCGGCCCTCCCCGGGACACAGAGGGCTCGGGCCAGTGACGGCCCAGGGCGCTGGCCCCCGAGTCAGCAGGCTGACCCTGCCAAGGGACTCGTGACCACTGTGGCCCTGGTGCACCCAGCTCTCCGTGTCAAGGGGTCAGCAAGTTGCTGCTTCCTCTCCCCTCCCTCCAACACAAGAAGGGCCTGGGCCAGGGACCAACCAGCAACCCCTCCCCACCCAGTGCCCAGAGGTCGGCAAGCCACTCCTCCAACAGAACACGAGAGAGTCGAAGTGCAACTCACCCTTGCCCAAGTTATCCTAGTCAGCAGGCCACCCCACTCAGGACACTGACCACCCATCCTCCCCCACCCCCAGCACTGCACAACCAGCAAGACACCCTCCAAAACACAGAGGCTTCGAGGTCAGGGGTCACCCATCCCTATCTCTGTCAGCAACTGCTTTCCCCTGGCCCAGGCCCTGTAACACTCAACCCACCCCCTCAGGTCAGTCAGCTCCCTCGCACCAGGAGGGTCGTGCACCCCAACCTCTCCCACCCTCAGCGAGTTGCCATCACCCCAGACCCGGGTCCTTCGATCTCAGTGGCCCCCCCAGGATTAGGATGAGGGGCTTATACGCCTGTCCCCAGACCGTGGCACACACTGGGCGGTCGATGAGGACTGGTGGTTGGTGCGAAAGTTGAGTGCCACGTGGAGGTGGCGCCTGCTTCGGCAGGGCCAGGAACCAGGCCCCGCACTGGGGAGCGAACGCCAGTACCGTCTGTCTCCGGCCTCCGCAGCCTCCAGAGCAGGGTGACCAGAGCCTCCCCACGGCAGCTCCCCAAGAGGGGCTCTGTGACACCCGCTGTGCAGGCGGGAAGGAGGCAGGTGGGCCTCTGCGTGTTTTCCCAAAGAGCAGGGCCTGGTCAGTCCCTTGGATAGTAGCCAGGCCAATGCGGCCCCCTCTGCCCGAAGCTGCCAGAGTACGCTGCTGTTTGTGACCACTAAACCACTGGCTCCCCTCTCCTGCACGGAGGGGTGAGGGGCAGAGTGGACCCAAAGGAACCCATCTTCTGGACAGGGGTGTGGTGCGGGCTGACCGGCCTCTGCTGGCTTTTCTGTGACCTCCAGACCATTCACCCAGGACCTCCAGCCTTTGGAGGGAGGGGGCCATCCCTGGGGTAGTAGACAGCTCATAGTCTTTTTTTTCTGTAGAGACTTCCCAAGAGCCTAAGCAGGGACTGTATGAACCTAACCTGTGAGGCCTATGGCAGACCCCGGGCGGTGCAGGGATTCTTGGAAGGCGTGGAGATCCCTCTTTGGTTTGAGGTGCCCTGTGGAGCCCCAGAGGCCCGGACAAGTCATTTGCCTGCCCCCACCCCTTACCTGTGACGGTCACCAACATGGAGGCCACCAGCGGGCGGTTGTTGTCCAGCTTGCGGCTGAGCCGGAGCTCCCCGCTGGTCTGGTTGACCACCAGCAGCTGCAGCTCATTGCCGCGCTCAAAGGAGTAGAAGAGGTGGTCGGAGACGTCGGGGTCGTACGCTGGGATGCGCCCGATGACGCCGGAGGGGAAGGTGTCCGAGCGGTTGGACACGTAGTTGTTGAAGAGGATCTGGAAGTTGTTGAGCACAGGGCTGTTGTCGTTCTGGTCGACGAGGCGGACGTGCACGGTGGCTCGGCTGACCAGCGGGGCGGACGTGGCCTGCACCACGATCACATACTCCTGGCGAGCCTCGTAGTCCAGGTCGATGAGCGCCGTCAGCTCTCCGGAGAAGATGTCCATCTGGAACAGCTCGGGGATGTTCCCCTCCACGATCTGGTACATGATGTGCGCATTGGGGCCCTCGTCGGGGTCCGCCGCCGTGATCTGGGCCACCACCGAACCCACAATGCTGTTCTCCTTCACCCGGACCTCGAACTCCTCGGCGGGGAAGACGGGGGCGTTGTCGTTCACGTCCTGCACGGTCACCTGGATGCTGACCGGAGTCCGAAGCGGAGGCACACCTCGGTCCACAGCGTAGGCCGTCAGCTCGTACACTGGCCTGGCCTCCCGGTCCAGCCGCCTCACCGAGCGGACGATGCCCGAGGTGGGCTCGATGGTAAAGTCCCCATCCCCGTCTTCCCCGTTCTGGAAAGTGTACTGGACCCGGCCGTTGGCATGAGCGTCCCGGTCAGTGGCTGAGATCTGCAGGACGCTGGTGAAAGGCGGGGCGTCCTCCGAGACCAGCCCCGTGTAGTGGGGGGCCACAAACTGGGGGGCGTTATCGTTCACGTCATTGACCATCACCTCCACGTAGGTGGTGTCCGCCTTCTGTGGGATGCCGTTGTCTCGCGCGGTGATGGCCAGCGTGTAGGTCACCTGGTCCTCATAGTCCAGCGGGGGCCTGCAGCGTGATGGCCCCCGAGTCGGCGTCGATGCGGAACTGGGGCAGGTGGTCCTCCAGCAGGTAGGTGATGCGCGCGTTCTCACCCACATCGTCGTCCGAGGCGCTGATGACCGCCACGGTGCTGCCCACGGGCCGGTCCTCGTTCACGCTCACGGAGTAGTGGGCGCTCTGGAAGACGGGCCGGTGGGTGTTAGCGTCGGTGATGTTGACGTGCACGTAGCAGTGGTCATGCAGGGCCCGGTCAGAGGCGGTGAGCACCAGCTTGAAGTAGCGCTCCTGCTTGTAGTCCAGGGGCAGGGCCAGCGTCACCAGCCCGGCCCCGCCCTGGGTGCTGATGGCAAATCGGTTGCGGGTGTTGCCGCCTGTGATCTGGTAGCTGATGGCGCTGTTGGCATCCCGGTCCACAGCGGTCACGCTGACCACACTGGTGCCCACGGCGGCATCCTCATTCAGCCGCAGGTGGTACTCCTTGGTGGTGAACTCGGGCCGGTTGTCATTCACGTCCAGCACAGTCACCGTGACGCTGGCTGAGGAGGACAGAGGGGGTGAGCCGTGGTCTCGGGCCTCCACACCGAAGAAGTAATGCTCCACAGACTCGCGGTCCAGGGGGCCGCTCACAGAGACCCAGCCGGTCGCGCTGTTGATGACGAAGGGCGTGTCGGGGACCACCCCGGTCAGCGCGTACTCCAGCCTGGCGTTCTCCCCGTGGTCTGCGTCCACCGCCTGGATGTGGATGACCGAGTGGCCCAGGGGCGCGTTTTCCAAGACGGACACCTGGAAGGGCGTGCTGACAAATATAGGCGCGTGGTCATTGATGTCCACCACCTGGATGCTGGCCAGGCCCGTGTTGTTGGACAGCGGGGGCCGGCCGGCGTCCTGCGCCCGGATGCGCAGAGCGTACTCACGTTCGGCCTCAAAATCCAGCGGGGCCACCACCTGGATCTCCCCCGTGAGGCTGTCGATGGCGAAGTGGCCGCGGCTGTTGCCGCTGATGATGTTGTAGTGCACCAGGCCGTTGGCGTCCTTGTCGCGGTCCGTGGCCGTGACGCGCAGCACCACCGTGTGGGGGCGCACGTCCTCGCGCACCTGAGCCACGTACCGTTTCTCGCTGAACTGCGGCGCGTTGTCGTTTTCATCCAAGACGGTGATGTGCACACGCACGGTGGCCGAGCGCGGCCCCGGCTCCTGGCCCTGGTCGCTGGCCTCCACGACCAGCTCGTAGTTCTCCATGTGCTCCCGGTCCACGCGGCCGCTGGTGCTAATGAGGCCCGAGCGCGGGTCGATCTCAAAGGCGGCGGCGGCGGCGGCGCGCGGAGCGAGCGGCTCCACGAAGCGGTAACGCAGGTTGGCGTTCGGGGGCGCGTCGCCATCGGTGGCTCGCAACTGCAGGATGGGGTAGCCCTCCTCCACGTTCTCGCGCAGCGTCTCCCGGTACTGCGACTGCTCAAACACCGGCGCGTGATCGTTGCGGTCGGCCACCGTCACCGCCACCATGGTGGTGGCCGAGAGGCGCGGCGAGCCGTGGTCCTGCGCCGTCACGCGCAGGTAGTGGCGCTCCATGCTCTCGCGGTCCAGCGCGGCCTCCGTGCGGATGAGGCCGCTCTGCGGGTCGATGCTGAACAGCTCCAGCGAGCGGCTGTTAATGAGCGCAGCCAGCGAGTACACCAGGCGCCCCGCCTCGCCCGCGTCCGGGTCCTGCGCCGCCACGCGCAGCACCGCGGTGCCCGCCGCCTGGTTCTCGGGCACGAGCGCCTGGTAGTTGTACTGCGGGAACTGCGGGTGGCGGTTGGCGGCGCGACGGGGGCGGGCCCGGCTCGCCAGGGGTGTCCTCCAGGGGCCGGGCGGGGCCGGGACCCCCGGGCGCAGCGGAAGGAAGCGGCGGCGGAAGAGGCCGCGGGGGCGCATGCGCTCGGGCGCCGGCCCGGGAGCTGTCCGGTCACCGCGCGGTGCTGAACCCGGCGCGGGAGCTGTCCTGGCCGCGCGCGGTGCTGAAACCAGGCCGCGCCAGGCCCCGCGGCCCCGGGAGGACAGTCCGCCCGGGAGATCGTCCTCTCGGCTCGGGGGCTCAGGGTTCTCTCGCTTTGGCCCCTGCGCCCCGGCACCCACAATTCCCCGCAGCATCGCGTGGTTCCCACTTTTTGGGGGGCGCTTCTCCCAGCATTCCTCTGGGGCCGAACCAGAAGGTCCGAAGGGAAGGGCAAGCTGTTCTCTGGGGCCGGGACCCCTGGGGACGGAACCTCTGGCGACAAACTGTCTCTTCGTGAGGGTCCCGTCCGTCCGCAGGCGGGAACCTCCGGGCGCCGGCATAACGGAGACCCCGGGCCCTGGCCGGCCCCCCGCCCGCGGCTCCCGGGTGCCTGGCCCCCGTATTCCGCCCCCAGCCCCGCATCCGGTTGCCCGGGGGACCCTCGGCCACTCTGGGAGCTTGGCTTCCCCCCTCGGAGCCCCACGAAGAAAGGCTCCCCAACTCCCAGGCCAGGCTCCCC